GGATTTATATCAGAGGATTAGTTTTCTTTTTCTTCAAGACTTCAAATATTTAGGATTTTACTTTTATAGATACTCCTACTCTACCATCATTGGTTGGTTAGTTTCAGACTTTTTCAATGTGCTTACCAGTTATGATGATTTTTTCTCCCTTATCTTTTTTTTTTCCCTAGAAAATGTTATTTGCAATATGGGATAGTTTTCTGGGAGGGAGAGGGGAAGATATACTGGGGAAAATTATGGTGATGGAAAAAGAAACAAATGACATCAATAAAAATTTATTTTAAAACAAAGCAATAAACAAAAATTCTTTCCTTCTCTTAGGATTCTATGATTCTCTACTTCTGAATTCATCATGATGGGGAATAGTTGTGAAGTGCTTGAAAGAGGATATTTTAAGCAAATGGGAAGTCTAATCTAACCTTTCATATCCAACTCAAATAGCAACTCTTTCATGAATCCTTCACTGATCTCCCAGTAGTAATTATCTTCAGAAAAGGTTAATTACTTCCTCCAAAGAGTATCTGAAATTTGGGGACTGAAAGGAGTAGGACATTTTTAACCCAAATGGCCGAGAAATGTTATACTTAGTTTACATTCTCTCTTCTTTGGAAGCTAAGAAACAGAATACTCTGTTGCCAAAATTTTACTTGACTCATATTGACTCCATGTTAACATTCTTGAAATGAATACTAGGAGAAATTATGGTAATGTTAAAAAAAAAAAAGACACCAATAAAAATGTATTTAAAAACAAAGCAATAAATAAAAATTCCCTCCTACTCCTAGGATTCTATGATTCTCCAGTTTGTGAATTCAGCATGATGATGGGAAATGGTTGAGGAGTGCCCAGAGGGAGACATTTTAAATAAATGGGTAGCCCAAGCAGGGAAAAGCATTTTAGGTGAGTACCAAAGGTAAGGCAAGTAACACAAGTCTCAAAATCTGGCTAGATAGAAGCTAATGATGTCACCTTAGTGACAAGTTTTACCCATTGATCCTATCTCTAGCAGTTTCCAAGACTGGACAGCCTGTTGTTATCCTTTCAATAATACCTTATCTGATAGAGAAGCTGTGAAACTGGGTCTCACTGGTCTAATTCAGAATTGGAATAGTAACTTATTTTCTATAGTTCATTATGCTTTACATACAAGGTACCTTCTCAAACAACCTGTAAGGTGGACAATGTAAATATTGTTACATTTCCATTTTATGCAAGAAACAGTTTCAGTAATATGAAGTGACTTGCCTGAACTCACACAGAAACTACGAAGGCAGGATTTAAACCCAGTTCTCTCCTGGCTCCAAGTCCTGGCTCTTTCCACTAGGCCACACTGTCTCTTGGTATAAACAAGACACTGGAGGTAATCTAGAACTTTCTACCCACCTAGAGTCAGCTAGATGGTACAATCAAGAGAGCACTAGAACCAGAGTCAGGAAGACCTCAGTTTAAATCTAGTCTCAGACATTTCGTAGCTATGTGACCATATGCAACACTTAACCTCTGTCTGCCTCAGCTTTCTCCTCTGTAAAATTGTTTTAATAATAGCACCTACCCCTCCTAGAGTTGTTGTAAAGATAAAATGAGATAATATTTGTGAAGTGCTTTGTAAACCTTAGAATGTTACATAAATGTTTTTATTGCTTATTATTAATGTTATTATTTTACCCAAGGCAAGAATCTTCTCTGGCATCTCCAACAAAGGTAACCAATCAAAGCATTAACACTTCTAGTAAAAGGGACCTCACTACCTCATAAGTCAATTATTTGAAAGTTGGACAGCTTTGATTGCTAAGAAGTTATTCCTTGAACTGAGTCCAAATCTACCTCATGAGACTTCCACCTTCTGATCCCTAATTAATAATAATAATATCAACAAAAACTAGCATTTATATAGCACTTCCTTTGTGTCAGGCACTGTGCTAAGAGCTTTACAATTATTATCTAATTTGACCCTTACAACAACCCCCGCCAGCAGGTGCTATCATTTCTCCCACTTTACAGATGAGGAAACTGAACAAAAGGTTAAGTGATTTACACCCAAGGTCACATAGATTTGAACTTGGGTCTTCCTGATTTCAGGATGGAACCCAGAGCTCTTCCCACTGTGCCATCTGGTTGGCCTAACTCTGTCCTTTGTGGTCTTCATAAGCTGCTACAGTCAAAGAAACTATCAGAAATGACTTCACGTTATCCATTGCTGGCCCATGCCTGGAGCCCTGACAGCTTGGTAGGACCTGCCAGAACTTGTTTCACAGCATAGCCCTAGAGATCTCAGGTCTGCCTCTCTGCTTTGATGAAGCATCAGAGGGGAACCTGATTATTATTAAAACCTAATTATTATTTCATCCTTCAAATGTTAGGAGTCAAGGACTAGCTCAATTAGAAGGGAGTCTAATTCTTAACTATTTCTGAGCTTGCTCATTCCTTTTGGTCTCAATCCCCTTTGGCCAAGGAGAGCACTAAGAAACCTGCAGTGAGAGAAAGGGCCTTCTCCATGGTTATGTGTCACCACAAGAATGGCGCTGACACAGGAATTATTAGTTTAGGGAGTCTTGAGAGAAAGCCTACTGAAGTGAATTCTGGGCATCATTCTAATCATAGGATTATGTTACCCACTATGATGATAGTCTTGTCAACAGTTTTTAGGCTAGTTGAATTCAAATGCTAGTTGGAGCCAAGTATAGGGTTAATAAAAAGCCTCACATCTGTATATATCCATGTTGGACCCCTTCCTTTCCTCTCCTCAAAGGCCCTTTTACCCCACTGTCCCCTACTTGGCTTTGAGAATTATTGGTGGCTATGCTGTATACACTGAATGCCCTCCCTGGCCCATCATTTACTGTCAGTCATTTAAAGAGCTCCTGGAAACCACTGATTTCATGAAGGACCACTCTGGTGATGAAGACCCATAAGTCTTCTCTCTTTCTGAAAAACCCACTTACCTGGATTACAGCCAAACCCTAGCTTCCTGGAACCTTTAGGGAATAAGGCAATTGGAATGACCAATTTTGGAGACCTTTATTGGAGAGCTAGGGGATCAGCTTGCTATGCACTCAAGACCTATTTTATTTTGAAAATTTTCCTAAGATATATGATACTACCTTTCTTTTTCTTTTCTTTTTTAAATGACACTACCTTCTTAAGCAGAACACATAGGTCATAATTTTACTCTTTTTCTGTCAACTCAGGATTAAAATTATGAATACCAATTATTGCACTAATTTACAAAATAGCAATGCTCTCGGGATTTTGAGATGCGTGAGATTATTTTCTTTCTTTCTTTCTTTTTTTTTGGTGAGGCAATTGGGGTTAAGTGATTTGCCCAGTCACACAGCTAGTGAGTGTTATGTGTCTGAGGCCGGATTTGAACTCAGGTCCTCCTGACTTCAGGGCAGGTGCTCTATCCACTGTGCCACCCAGCTGCCCCCTTTTTGTTTGTTTGTTTTTGCTTTTTGGTGAGGAAATCAGGATTAAGTGACTTGCCCAGGGTCACACAGCTAGTAAGTGACAAGTGTCTGAGGCCAGATTTGAACTCAGGTCCTCCTGACTCCAAGACCAGAGTTCTATCCACTGTGCCACCTAGCTACCCCTCATGAGACTATTTTCTGCAGTACTCAGGGGCCACAAGACTACTGGTTTTAAAATAATAATTCACACTTTAAATAAAGTTTGATGGTCTGAAAAATACTTTTTCTTTCTTGGAAAAAAACCCCCCAGCAGATAGTGCTTTTAAGTTTGGAATATATTAGTTACTACTTTTGATAATAAAAAAAGCTGCTCCATTTTCTACTGTTCTTTAAGTTGTACAAAATGCTTTTCTCAATTAACTTGTTGAGATTGGTAGAGATTTTAGCCCATTTTACAGCTGAAGAAAAGGATACTCAGAGCACATAAGTGACACGCCATAGCAAGCGACAGAACCAGGCCCTGAACCCAGTCCCTTTGACTCCAAGTCCAGTGGTCTTTTCCTTACACAATGCTGTTTCTTTGACTCTAGTGTCAGCTTTTAAAATGCATTTTCTGTCTCTTCTCTCATTATCAAGCACTTAGTTGTGATGTCTTACTGCTGCTAACGTATCTCTTTCTAGCACATAAATCACAGGACTACAGTTCAAAGTCAGAGATCAGCTAGGCCAAGTTCTTCATTTTATAGGTCAAGAAAATGAGGCCTAGAGTGGCTTATCCAAGGCTACACAGGAATAAGTCACGAACATCCAAGATGTTAATTTAAGTCTTCTCATTCTAGGTTCAGTGTTTTTTCATTTTTTAAATTTAGTATTTTATTTTCCCCCAGTTACCAGTGTTTCTTCTACTATGCTAGGTTGTAGCCTCAGCCCACACTCCTAATTTGTTGTGGACTTAGAAACCAGAAATCCACACATATTTGGATTTCACATAAAATAAAAGTTAACAGTATGAGTAGGAACTGAGGGGCTCATCACTACATAAAAGGGAAGAAGTTTTTAACCACCTTAACTACTTTCACTATTTAGAGACCTTTAAAAAACGTTCTACCTCAGCCACAAACAGCCTGGTGCAGTAGAGTCTTTCCTGTATTTGGAGTCAAGAGACCTGAATTCAAGTCCCAGCTATTCCACTCCCTTAGCTGTGTGACCTTGGGCAAGTCATTTAACTGCTCAACAGCCTTAGTTTCCTCTTCTGGAAAATGAGGAAAATAGTATGTGCCAGACTTATCTCACAGGGCTCTTATAAAGAAAGCATTTCATAAAGCTTAATGTGTTAGAGAAATGATTATCTTATCATCAAATTATTATGATATAGGGATGGTTATCATAAACTGAGTTCAAAACAGGTGGGATGTTACTGGATATATACCTTCCCCATCTATGCATGTGTACTGAATGGCTTTAATACTCTGTGGAACCGTTGTCTGTATCAGGGTTGTTCAGTTCACACAAGTTCAAGAGAACTTGCCCAGTGCTACCTGCATGTAAGGATTCTCCAGGAATAACAGAGGCAGGGGAGGAAAAATGGCTTACATTATAGGATCGTGGATGCCTCTGCTTCCATTGCACCAAGAGCAGCTGTGCCACCACCAGGGTGGCGATGAGGATGAGGACCATCTCTGCATGCATGGCCTCGTGGCCACGGTGCTTGGCGTGCATCCGTGCGTGCTCGATCCTGAAAGCCAAACAAATGTGTTAAACAGGCAGCAGGGGAATTAGAAGCACCCCACCCCTGCTACCACAGATATAGAACTATAGCACATCATAGCTGGAAGTGCTCCCAGAACACAGAATGTAGAATGTCAGAACTGGAAAGGACCTGAAACAAGCATATTTTAGCTAAGAGAAAATCTGTTAATAAAGGGAAAATATTCCTGGTACTGGTGACCTAAAGCAAAGGGAAGGCTAGTTGCAGGATGGTTCAGAATAAAGTCTCTTATTGTCCAACTTCCAAACTGTAGCCTGTATCTAGAAAATCCTTCCATTCACATTTTTGCCTGTTGAATCTATGTTGTTGTTGTTGGTGTTGTTTTTGTTTAGTTGTTTCTGTTGTGTCTGTCCCATTCTTCACGACCCCACTTGGGGTTTTCTTGACAAAGATATCAGAGTGGTTTGCCATTTCCTTCTCCTGCTCATTTTACAGATGAGGAAACTGAAGCAAACTGGATTAAGTGATTTGCCCAGCACCACACAGCTAGTAAATGTCTAAGGCAGGCCTGCACAACCTATGGCTATTTTCCTTTACATTTTTCATAGGCCACCTGAAACTCTTTGGTGTGCTGCAAGCGGCCCATGGGCCGCTTATGGTTCACGGGCCACAGATTTAAACTCATGAAGATGAATCTCCCTGACTCCAGGCCCAGCACTCTATCCACTGTGCCACCTAACTTCCTTGCTGAATCTATACCCCAACTCAAATGATACCGTATCTCCTTCATGAAACTTCTTTGACCTCTCAATTAGATCAGGACTCTTTCTTCCCAAAAGACATACCTCAGTCTCACAACGTATTGTGTACCCCTCCAACTCATTTATATTACAATTTTCTGAGTGTATGTCATATACTTCTGATTAGACTTCAAGTTCAAAGTAGGGGAGGGACTGTCTTACCTAAATTCTGAATCTCTCTCAGGTTATATTTTCCAGGCCAAGATCTTTGTCTCACTTACCTTTGTTTTTCTTTCATTCCACTGTAACCCCCAAAGTGACAGCTCATATCCTTGATCTCACTATTACTTAGAACTACCTCCATATCCAAAACTCTGAATTCTTCTCTAAATATAAATTCCTAACCTTGCAATCTCTCCCTCTACCTCACTCTTCCTAAACTTATTCTTTGTCTTCACCACAATCTCTACTCTTTTCGTTTCTTCCTGTTCTCCTAGTCCACTATTCCAGTCTATCTCTTATTCAATCTTGACTCTATGGTTGGGCAATTAAACTATACATTATCTTCCATCATTGAACCATTTACCCCCTTGTCCTACTGCCTGACATACTTTGTCAAACTCCAAAATTGGGTTACCCCACTATCTATTCTCACTGTTCCTCTAAATGTTGCTAAATGTTGCTAGGGGGAAAGTCTCATCACCATGTTAACTCGGTTCATTAAAAATTTATGTTACCTAGGGGCAGCTAGGTGGCGCAGTGAATAGAGCTCTGGTCTTGGAGTCAGAAGCACCTGAGTTCAAATCCAGCCTCAGACACTTAACACTTACTAGCTGTGTAACCCTGGGCAAGTCACTTAACCCTGATCGCCTCACCAAAAAAAAAAAAAAAAAAAAGTTATGTTATCTAATCTCAATTGGGCCTGCATGGCTACATGGGAATCCTTTCTTCCCTGACCTGCTGTCACACTCACCACAGCAGCTATTCAAACCTTCTCAAAATCAGGGCTTCTTAAATTTTTTCCACTCACGACCCATCTTCATGTTTCGAAGCAGATGTTGCATGGCTTGAGGGCATGCATGGTGCAAGGTGCACATGCTTTGTGTTCAGAACCAGTGAAGTGACCCTCTGCAACAAGGGCAAGTGCTGCCAGAAATACCTTGGATTCACTATGTGTTTGATTCTGAATTAGTTTTTGGTCATTGGGCATTCAGAAACCTTTTATTGTTGCCATATTTTTCACAAACTCACATGGGGTCGAGACCCACAGTTTAAGAAGCACTGCTGAGGCGGCTAGGTGGCACAGTGGATAGATAGATCACTGGCCCTGAAGTCGAGAGGACCTGAGTTCAAATTCGGCTTCAGACCAAACACTTGACACTTACTAGCTGTGTGACCCTGGGCAAGTCACTTAACCCCAACTGCCTAAAAAAAAAAAAAAAAGGAAAAAAAAGAAAGAAAGAAGCACTGCCACCTATATCATCCCTTTCCCCTCTGTCTCAACAGAACTTGCCTCTTTATGGAAAAAATGTTAACCACTTGTCATTAACTCCCTCTTTCTCTCCTGCTAGAACTTCTTTTACATCATCCTCCCATTTTCTCTTCCTCTGTTTCAATCTTTGACAAGAAACGGTCCCTCTTGCCAAGACCAAGCCTTATACTTGTAATTTTAATACTCATCTCCCAAGTTTTCTCTGAGAGTTTGCCCCTTTGGTGATTTCCTTTCTTTTTCTCATCTTCAAGCATTTGTTAAATGACTGTTATTTAGGTTCTGGGGATACACAAAGACCAAAAACCTAAACTGTCCCTGCTTACATTTTACTGGGGAAGACAACACATACTTGCAGATATAAAATAAACATAAGGTAGAAGCACTAACTAACTGCTAGGGGGAAGGGAGTGGATCAGGAAATGCTCCACGTAGAAAGTCACACTTAAGCAGACTTTGAAGAAGGCATTCTAAGAGCATAAGGTGAGTGGGGAACAGCATGTGCATAGGTAGCAATGCCTTGTGGGGTACAACAAGCAGGCCAGTTTGTCTGCAGTAGAGGAGTAAGTTCCAATGACTCTGAAAAGGCAATCTGAAGCCAAATGCAAAGGGCTTTAAAAAACCAAACAAAGTAGTCTGTATTTTATCCTAGAGGCAACAGGGAGTCACTGGAGATTCCTGAACAGGGCAGTGGCAGTCAGATGTGTGCTTTAAGAGCAGTCCTTTAGAAGCTGTATGAAAGATGGATTGGAGAAGAGAGAGGCAGGAAGACTCATTAGGAGGCTATTTCAATAGTTTAGGAGAAAAGTGATGAGGGTTTGAACAACAGAGGTAGTAGCTACATGAGTAGAGAGGAGATGGACATGAGAAATGTAGAGGGACACTGACAAGACTTGGTAATCGACTGGCAGGAGGAGTGTAAGAATGAAGAGTCAAGAACGACTCCAACGTTAAGAAACTGGGTACCTGAAGGTGGAAACTTCAACAGAAACAGGAAAGTTAAGCAGAGCTATCAGAGGAGATATCAGTTCCAAAAAGAAACTCAATACTATTTCTCCCCAACCTATCCCTCTTCCAAACTTTCTATTTCTCTGCTGAGGGCAATATCATCCTACTAGTCCACAACTTGAGAGTTATAATCTCAGAGTTATCGCTAACATTTTTTAAAAATAAGTTTTTATTGCCTTTATAAAACCTACATTTCCCAATATTATGTCTCCCCCTCCCAGAGAGCCAGTACTACCTACAAAGAATAAAAAAAGAGGAAAAAAACCTAAGTAAACAAAAATAACCAAAGAGCTAAAAAAAATATTTTACACCCACATCGCCACACCTTTGCAAGGAAAGGGTTGTAGGGGAAAGGTGTCTCCTCATACCTCTTCTATGGGGATAACCCTGGTCATGATAATTTTACAGCATTCAATTTCAACTGTTTTATTGTTATCATTCTGTTCATTTACTTCACTGTGCTCACTGTGTATATTATTGTCCTCTCTGAGGATAAAGACAGTTTCTTTAACTTGGTATCTTATCTAAGACCTAGCATAGTCTTCTGTAAGGAAATAATAAATATTTGTTCTATTATATTGTAAATCCTGTGACTCCCTGTCACCCTCCTCTGAATGCACTCCAGGTTTTTATGATATTAATTGCTAGTAACTCACATTTACATAGCATTTTCTCATAATAGCCAATGTAAACCCCTCTACATGCACAAGTAATGCCATTCGTCTCGTCTCCTCCAACAGACTGCACCTCTATCATCTCCACACTCTCACTTATCTTCAGTCTCTCCTATCTACTGCCTGCTTCCCTAATGCCCATAAACATATCCACATTTCCTCCATCCTCAAAAAAAAAAAAGCCTCAATTGATCAATCCATTTCTGCTACTTATTGGGCCTATATCTCTTCTTCCTTTCATGGCTAAACTCCCTGAGAAGACCATCTACAACAAGTGCCTCCACATCCTTTCCTCTCGTTCTCCTAACTCTCTGCAGTCTGACTTCCAATCTCATCATTCAACTGAAACTGTTCTCACCAAAGTTACCAATCACCTACTGACAAATTCAATCAATCCTTATCCTTCTTAACCTCTCAGTAAACTTTGACAGAGGCTGTAGAAATTTCTAATAGTTGTGAAAAGGTAGCCTGAAGCCAGATTGTGAAGGGCTTTAAATACCAAACAAAGGAGCCTGCATTTTATCTTAGAGGATGTCTCCCAAGACTATGCCAAGGATATCCATAGGACTCCTAAGGCTCTGTCCTGGTCCTCTTCTGTTCTCTCTTTATGATATTTCATTTAGTGACCTCATCAGCTCTCATTGATTCAAGTATCTCTAAGCAGGTATTCTGGTCTATCTGTCCAGCCCTAATTTCTCTCTTGACAACACCTGCCTATCAGCCGTCTAGAACTGGATGTCCCACAGAAATTTTAAACTCACAATCTAAAACTGAACCCATTATCTTTTCTCCCAAACCCTCCCTTCTTCTGTTACTGTCAATTCTATTACTTCTATAACCACAATCCTTCCAGTCATCCAGGCTCAAAACTGAAATGTCATCTTCAACTCCTTATTGTCTCTCATGCTCCACAGCCAAAATGTTGCCAGATCCTTTCAATTACACTTTCAAAACATCTCTCCTATATGCCTCTTCTGTCTAACACTGCCGTCACCTTGGCACCGGCCCTCATCACCTCATGCCTGGACTATTACAACGATCTGTTGCTTGGTCTTCTTACCTTGCGTCCTCTCACTCCAGACCATCCTCCACTTAGCTGTCAAATTGAATTTCCTA